TAATCAAATATCTTCATATTTATAACAGTGATCTACATTTATCTATTATGTCAAAAACACACTATCATGACCATGCACCTACTCTCTATCTGTGTGTTTCTTACTTTACTAAATTCATAACTGAGAAGGCACAGGAATCTGATCTTTGCCCCTCCAGCCCCAAGAAAGTCAGTAACCTTACACTTTAACCAGTAAAACCATTGTTGTCTGTGGCTAGAATCCTCGGACAAAGCTATTAGTAGGTTTTGTAACCACAAAGGCCAAGTAATCTCTGTTAATCTGCAAAATTGGTTAATCTAGAAATGGACAGATATCAGCCTGACCTACATGAGACTGGCTTTGGACCAGTGGAATGCAGACACAAAACTAGTGTGAAAACTAGGTTTTCGTTTCTCACACTGCAAAATTTTGGCTCATTTCTATTGTCCAAAAGTGATATGGGTTGGATCAGACAAATTAGTCGCCAGTATTTAGCCAAACAAGACAGTAAACAAGAGGGGTAAAACGATAACGTGGGCGGGGTAATGTACATTTAAATACAAAATATTTATGTAACAAACAAAACTAATGAAGACAGGGTGATTGCACCAGGCTCTTTAAACAGCTGGTTTCGCGATATTTACTTGACTGTACAAATAACACAACAACACGAGTAAAATACAACAGATATAGCCTAAAACTTGTCGACCCCGTCACATGAGATGTAACAGGTGCTCAGCTCCTAAACGAAGACATCATATCAAAACATAACCCAATGTTTTTCTTCGCGATAGCCGATGTAAACACCCGCTGGCAGTGCTTTGGCTCAGCGTTTAGGCTGATTTACTGATTGAATCCCTTTCCTCTGACCCGACGCGCGCTGCTTCTGAGGTAAAAGTGTTTTATTTCGTGACAAGTTGAACCAACCAGCTTTAAAAACAGACGAGGGTTCGGTACACTCGTTTGGAAGCGGGATAGTACTTCTGGACAAACTTTACGTGAAGTAAATAAATGCTCACCTTGGCTGGAACTCTGACAGACGTCGCTTCCATCCCGCTCCGCCATTTCATTGCGTCACATGTCAGGAGAGGATTAGAGCGCGCGCTTAGTACAGAAGCGGCGTTACGCACCTCTAGCGGACAGGTGCAGAAGCACAGATACACAGACAGATTTGTCCGACTGCAAGAGCTCTTTGGTAACAAAGTCCGATTTCAGTAATTATTGTTAATTCTATTTTTCTGTTTTAATTGTTTTTATATATTATATTTGTTTATAAAATACTGTATGCTATCAAAGATATTTTTAAATGTTCATTTAATTTTAGATTAATTATATAATTTGTGTTTTTAGAATATGCATGTATTATTATTTTTATTTTGTCATATTTTTTATAATCATTCAATCATGTATAGGCCTATTGATTACCTTTTAATGATTGTATTGTGTAACTGTTATTTAGTTTAATAAGATATTTTATTAATTAATAATATATTTATTATTTTTTACAGTTTTTCTCAGTCGCTTTGGTGCATTTCTCAAATCAGAAATGAAATTCTCAAAACTACTTGTACAACTTCCACGTCATCTAGTCATTTGTACACATCATAAAAGCAGTTTCTCATTCTTTTGAACAAGCTGCGATTGCTTTGGTACATTCATGCAATTGATTATGTACATTTATCTGCGGTTTCCTACATGATCAGTTGCTAATGTCACAGTTGCTCAAAATGTATTATATAGTTTCCTGTGCAGTAGTCTTACCCCTCAAAACATCTAGTTCATCGTATAAGTCATTAAATGCAAAATGGTTGAACTGGCTGTCATAAAGTGTCAAGCACATTTTTTACACATTATAATTAGACTTTTTTGTAAATTTAGCATGAATTGTGCAAGTGAATCTTGACTTTCACTAATGAAGAGAATTGATAAACCATTTCTCTGAAATAGCTCAAAGGTTCATCTCATGAATCTTCAGTTGGAAAGCATATACTGTATAGACAGAGGACAACACAAGTCTTCAAATTCTAACAATGGACTTTCCATATTTTCATCTTTGTGCCCATATTTCTTTTTCATCGACAAGAAATTGTCGTCGTATTTCATACGTCTTTTTTTTTTTTTGGTCAGACCACTTGTAAAAGTGTAAGTGGAATTCTATCCAGTCTCTTTCAATCAATATCCCACATACCATAATGAGTAAATTTGTACATTTTTAAATGGATATATGGCATACATAAGCATATGGCATACTGTTCAATACAGTAACTGTCATCCAAAATGCTGCCATAGTTTACTTTAGGTAATACTAACAAAGTGCACTGTTATATTGACAACATGACTAAGCATTTTGACTATCTTGTTTGTGAACAATGGCACAAGTACTTTTCATTCTGATGGCACTGATATGTTCATTGACATAAATACTTACTTTTGAGATTTTTTTAAGTTACAGGCTTTTGCAGGTAATCCATTGTGTGGTGCTGTTTGTACGAATTGTTTGTTGAGAAATGCACATACAGTTTTGCAAATATTAAGGATGATTCGAGAAATGCACCAAAGCGACTGAGAAAAACTGTAATTAAGACAAATTTGTCTTTGTGTTGCCATCTAGTGGTAACGTATTTTCATGTTATTCAAATTCTCCTTAGACACCAAAGGGATGCTTTGGATGCTGAACCTTAAAGAGATGGGCGAGGATTGCAAAATTTTGAGATATGAAAGTCTTGTTATGAGACATTGGGCTTTTGTAAGGGGTGAATACTAAATAACCTTATGGGACACATTTTATTTTAAGATTTTATTCCTGGCCTCCTCATTGTAAAGCTGGCCTTTTAAGTAGTCTACACACTGTTTTTGACCTATACATTATGACTTTTTTTTTATGGTATAGTGTATGTGTTTTCCTTGTAATATTACGAGATGTCCAAAAGGTGGCAGCAATTTACAGTACACTTCCACAACTTCAAACAAAATATGAAGTGTGTGTTGTACCATGTGGACCTTCATGATCTGAACATGAAAATGATAAATTATATAAATATATAAGAATGTATCATATTTGATTATATAAGTATAATGACTGTCCCCATGCACCATGATGTGATGTGTGTGTGAGCGTTTTTGTGACAAATGAGGACATAAATTTGTATAATGACAAAGGTATGACAGGTATTACAAGGAGAAGGTGACTTTTCAGGACATTACCCCATGTCCCCACTTTTCAAAACGCTTATAAATCACACAGAATGGAGTGTATTGAAAATCTGAAATAGCACAAAGTTTCCTGTAAGGGGTAGGTTTAGGGGTAGGGTTGGTAAAGGGCAATAGAATATACAGTCTGTACAGTATAAAAACCATTACGCCTATGGGATGTCCCCATTTTTCACAAAAACAAACCTGAGTGTGTGTGTGTGTGTGTTTTTGGGAGTGGCGTCATTTGACATCACTCTCTTTTACAAACAAATGGATAAAATATCAGAAAAAAATACTTCTGAGAATTGTTTGGTTCAGCTTAACGCAGAATGTACAAAAACAGAACAATAAACCGTGTATTTTTGGATTGGATGGTTTAATATTGAATATCCCCACATAACCTCTAATCCACATACACGCACCCCATGCTTTTTGTCTACCAATCCATCATCCTGGCTGCTCACATACATCATGCATCCCACATGGTTATTAAGAAGCATCATAAAGTAGATAAATGAGAACATGAAGGAACTAAATCGCTCTCCCTCAGTCTCTCTTGTTCTCTTTCTAGAGCAGCACTGGTGTTTTGGGACTGGGCCATCTCATTAGTGGGAGTTTCATTACGTTACATAAGCCCTGAACACTTTCTCTCCTCACTGTCCTCTATCCCACTGAAGCTCCGACCTCAGCTCCCCTTTAACATACAAGCACATATCTGCATCGACATAATACACATAACACAGATAACTTTTTCTCTCAGTTAGGGCATAATATGCATTTGATTTGTAAACCAGGACAAGTTTATCTTGAAGTCATGCATGTCACAAGATTTACCTGTTTTCTTTGTTTATATACACCACCTGCATGTGTGTTGTGCCTTATCATATTTTGTATTGCATATTGTATTGGACTGTATTGCATAGAAGTATAGTTGCCTCCATAATTCAATTATATATCATTATAAAGCAAAATATCAAATCAATGTCAAATTTATTTTAAAGAATGATAGTAAATACAGTACATACAAAACATTAAACTCTGTGTACTGAAAATTGTATTGCACTGTATTTTATTGTAATGTATACTGCATTTTATTTTGTATTGCATTCTATGTTGTTATAGATAGATATACAGTCAGACAGACAGACAGACAGACAGACAGACTGATTGATTGATTGATTGATTGATTGATTGATTGATTGATTGATTGATTGATTGATTGATTGATTGATTGATTGATTGATTGATTGATTGATTGATTGATTGATTGATTGATTGATTGATTGATTGATTGATTGATTGATTGATTGATTGATTGATTGATTGATTGATTGATTGATTGATTGATTGATTGATTGATTGATTGATTGATTGATTGATTGATTGATTGATTGATTGATTGATTGATTGATTGATTGATTGATTGATTGATTGATTGATTGATTGATTGATTGAT